GTGCTGTTGCTGACACCACGTGCTGCACCTGGAGAAACTCCTCTGGGAAAGCTGAGACCCACATGCACAAAATAAGAAAACAGGTCACAGGGTCGCAGCTGGTCTCACCCACCCTGTGGCCATCTGATTTATTCCCCTGGTTGCCTTTACGCCTGGGTTCGTGACTCAAAGCCATTATGCAAACTGGGATTGCCACATTACTATTAATTTTACCTTGTATTTCCCCTTTTCAAGCTTTGCGTTCGTTCCTTGTTAAATTTTGAAGTACAACTCCTAGCAGAATCATGCTGGCCCAGCGTGTCAAGATGGCAGCAAGAGACTCCAAAGCAGAAAAAATTGAACTCAGTAACGGGCCCCAGGGGGACTTAGCCCGGGAACCACGCTCTCCAAACCTCTCTTATTGCTCAACTGTGGCTAAAAGGGTTTTGACATTGACTCCTAGTCACCACCCACAGTAACCTCACCCAGTGTGCAGCAAGACCAGCAACCAGGACATCCCCAGGACATCAAAACCTAAGTACAGGGCCGCGCGCAGTGGCTCACACCTGTAATACCAGCACTTTGGGAGGCTGAGGCGGGCAGATCACCTGAGATCGGGAGTTTGAGACCAGCCTGGCCAACATGGTGAAACCCCATCTCTACTGAAAATACAAAACTTAGCCGGGTGCGATGGCGGGCGCCTGTAATCCCAGCTACTCAGAAGGCTGAGGCAGGAGAATCACTTGAACCCAGGAGGCGGATCGGAGGTTGCAGTGAGCCAAGATTGCGCCACTGCACTCCAGCCTGGGTGACAGAGTGAGACTCCGTCTCAAAAAAACAACAAAAAACTAAAAAGCTAAGTACAGAAAGACTGATCAGTGATGCCTGAGAAAGTTTTTTGTTTTTTTTTTTAAACAGAGTCTCACTTTGTTGCCCAGGCTGGAATGCAATAGCACGATCTTGGCTCACTGCAACCTCTGCTCCACCTCCTGGGTTCAAGCAACTCTCCTGCCTCAGACTCCCAAGTAGCTGGGACTGCAGACGCACACCACCATGCCCAGCTAATTTTTGTATTTTCAGTAGAGACAGGGTTTCACCATTTTAGTCAGGCTGGTCTCAAACCCTTGACCTCAGGTGATCTGCTCGCCTCAGCCTCCCAAAGTGCTGTTATTACAGGCATGGGCCATCTCGCCTGGCCTCTTTTATTTTCGAGACAGTCTTGCTCTGTCACTCAGGCTGGAGTGCAGTAGCGCAATCTCAGCTCACTGCAGCCTCTGCCTCCCAGATTCAAGCAATTCTCCTGCCTCAGCCTCCAGAATACCTGGGACCACAGGCGTACACCATCATGCCTGGCCAATTTTTATAGTTTTAGTAGAGATGGGGTTTCACCATGTTGGCCAGGCTGGTCTCAAACTCCTGACCTCGAGATCCACCTGCCTTGGCCTCCCAAAGTGCTGAGATTACAGGCATGAGCCACCACATCTGGCTGCCTGAGAAAGATCTCCATCAAAGGGGGAAATATGGCCGAGCACAGTGTCTGACACCCGTAATCTCAGTGCATTGGAAGGCTGAGGCGAGAGGATCTTTTGAGGCCAGGAGTTCACAACCAGCCTTAGCAACATAGTGAGACCCCTGCCTCTGCAAAAAAATCCTTAAAAGTTAGCTGGGTCTGGTGGTGCACACCTGTGGTCCTAGCTACTTGTGAGATGGAGGTGGGAGGATTGCTTGACCCTGGGAGGTGGAGGCTGCAGTGAGCTTTGATTACGCCACTGCACTCCAGCCTGGACAACAGAGTCCCCTCTCTCAAAAAAAAAAAAAAAAAAAATTGCCCGGGTGCAGTGACTCAAACCTGTAATCCCAACATTTTGGGAGGCCAAGGCAGGAGGATCCCTTGAGCCCAAGAGTTTAAGACCAACCTGGGAAACATAGGGAGACTCCATCTTTATTTATTTTTTAAAAATTTAAGAGGCCGGGCACGGTGGCTCATGCCTGTAGTCCCAGCACTTTGGGAGGCCAAGGCGGGCAGATCAAGAGGTCAGGAGTTTGAGACCATCGTGGCCAACATGGTAAAACCCCGTTTCTACTAAAAATACAAAAATTAACTGGGTGTGATGGCGCACGCCTGTAATCCCAGCTACTCAGGAGACTGTGGCAGGAGAATCGCTTGAACCCGGGAGGCGGAGGTTGCAGTGAGCTGAGATCACACCGCTGCACTCCAGCCTGGAAAATAGAGCGAGACTCCATCTCAAAAAATATATATATTAAAATATATTTTTAAAAAGGGGAAATAGGAAAGTTTTCAGAAGCAAAATGGAGTTATTAGTGTAAAAATAAAATCACCTGACAAATAGAGCCAGGGAAGATTATGAAGGGAGGGTTCTCAGCCTTGTATGCCTGATAAAAACTACCACAAAAGAGATGCAAAAACCACAACTTTGCCCAGAAAATACTTCTGCGAGGAAATCTGCCCAGCGACGGCCTGTCCAACCCTGGACTGGCATCATCTTGTCATTCATCCTCGTAGCCAAGGACAATCATTTCAAAACAATTATGTCATCCTCATTTTCCTTTAAAACCCTTTTTCTTCCTTTTCCCTCCTTAATATACACACAGTTTACTATGGCACACATATTCCCTCCCAAATAAATATCCACATCCTCTAGAGAGCCTCTTTCTGTTTCATATTTAGGTTAGGAGGTTCTAATTCCATTCTCCAATACAAGGAACTCAGGGCCAGGCACGGTGGCTGTAATCCCAGGACTTTGGGAGGCCAAGACAGGAGGATCACTTGAGCCCAAGAGTTTGAGACCAGCCTGGGCAACCTTGTTCCTACTAAAAATACAAAAATTACCCAGGCGTGGTGGCATGCACCTGTGGTCCCAGCTACTCAGGAGGCTGAGGTGGGAGGATTGCTTGAATCCGGGAGGTTGAGGCTGCAGTGAGCTATAATCACGCCACTGCACTTTGGCCTGAGCAACAAAGTGAGACTGTGCCTCAAAAACAAACAAACAAAAGCAAACCAAGCAAACAAAAAAACACAAAACAAGGACTGGGGCAGGAAACACACAACCTTATAGTTGCAGAAAGTAAGAACGTGCTCAACACAAATAAAATCCCCAGTCAAGGGCAGGGCATGGTGGCTCATGCCTGTAATCCCAGCACTTTGGGAGGCCGAGGTGGACGGATCACCTGAGGTCAGGAGTTCAAGACCAGCCTGGCCAACATGGTGAAACCACATCTCTACTAAAAATACAAAAAATTAGCCGGGCGTGGTGGTGGGCACCTATAATCCCAGCTATTCAGCAGGCTAAGGCAGGAGAATCATTTGAACCAGGGAGGCAGAGGTTGCAGTGAGCCGAGATCGTGCCATTGCACTCCAGCCTGGGCAACAAGAGTGATACTCTGTATCAAAATAATAACAATACACTTTATAAATAAATAAATGTCACATGAGATCCAGACAGGGCCCTTGCACAGAAAAAAGGACATTAGAGAAAAACTCAGGGAACCTGAATAACATGCGGATTATGCTTAATGACAATGTATCATTACGGTTCATTCACTGTGACCAATGGACCATGATGAGATAAAATGTTAATTACAGAGGAGAGTGGGTATAAGGTGTATGGGCACTTCAGCCATTATGGAAACAATGTGGCAATTCCTAAGAAATTAAAAATAGAACTGCCACAGGGCCCAGCAGTCCTTCCCCTGGGCCTGTACCCAAATGAATCAAGCTCACCACCCATCTAGGTGTCCACACTCACACACGTCCACCACAGCACTACCCACAGCGGCCAAAGCGGGGAACCACCTGGGCATCCATCAGTGGCCGGACAGATAAGGAGAATGTGGTGTATATGATCACATGGAGGGAGATGACGGACTATTGTTCAGCCTTAAAAACAGATCCTGCATTTGCTACATGGATGGACTGGGGGTCACGATGCAGCAAGACAAGCCAAACACAGAAAGAAACATCACAGGATCTCACAAATATGCAGAATCTTAAAAATAAATAAATAAGTAAAGGCAGGGGTATTGGGTGCGGTGGCTCACACCTGTAATCTCAGGATTTTGGGAGGTCAAGGTGGGAGGATCACTTGAGCTCAGGAGTTTGAGACCAGCCTGGGTAACATAGTAAAACCCCATCTCTACAAATTTTTTTAAAAATTAGCTCAGTGTGGTGGTGTGCACCTGTGGTCCCAGCTATCTGGGAGGCTGAGGCGGGAGGATTGCTTGAGCCCAGGAGGTCGAGGCTGCAGTGAGCTGTGGTCGTACCACTGCACTCCAGCCTGGGCAAGACAGCAAGAAGCTGTCTCAAAATAATAAATAAATAAAAAGGCGGGGATCAAATATATAAAGACAGAATAAAACAGTGGGCGACAGGGTGAGCCCCTTCAAATGGGCTTGTGTGCACCTGAGGGCTACAGAGAATAATTATGTTCCAGGTGTTTGCTAATGCGTGGATCACGGCTGCTCTGACTGTGGGAGGAAGACGGGTGCCTGTGAGATGATGCAAAACTCACCTGTTCCACTGTGGTCACCAATTTACTGCATATATGCACCCTACAACACCACGATGTACACCTGAAATGCACACAATAACATTTATTTTTAAAAAAGATACGTGGGGCCAGGCGCAGTGGCTCACACCTGTAATCTCAACACTCTGGGAGGCCGAGGCGGGCAGATCACCTGAGGTCGGGAGTTCGAGACCATCCTGACCAACATGGAGAAACCCCATCTCTACTAAAAATACAAAATTAGCTGGGCGTGGTGGCGGGTGCCTGTAATCCCAGCTACTCAGGAGGCTGAGGCAGGAGAATCACTTGAACCCGGGAGGTGGAGGTTATGGTGAGCCGAGATTGTGCCATTGCACTCCAGCCTGGGCAGTAACGGCAAAACTCCATCTCAAAAATAAAAAATAAAAAGATACATGGGAACTTTCCTATATTTATAGTTTTTCTATAAATTTAACTTCTAAAAATTTAGAACTTTATTTTTAAAAAAACAACAGACTGCTCACTTCAGCAACACCTATCCTAAAACTGGAACGACACAGAGATTAGCGTGGCCTCTGCACAAGGATGACACAAAAATTCATGAAGTGTTCTGTAGTTTTATATTATAAATAAAAATAAAAAATAACACACACATACAAAACCGTGCCTCAAAACATGTCATCTAGGGGCTGGGTGCAGTGGCTCACGTCTGTAATCTCAGCACTTTGTGGGGATGAGGTGGGTGGACCACCTGAGGTCAGGAGTTCAAGACCAGCCTAGACAACATAGCGAAACCCCATCTCTACTAAAAACACAAAAATTAGCCGGGCGTGATGGCGCATGCTACTCTGGAGGCTGAGGCAGGAGAATCGCTTGAACCCGGAGGCAGAGCTTGAAGTGAGCCGAGATCGCACCACTGCACTCCAGCCTGGGTGACAGCGAGACTCCGTCTGAAAAAAAAACAAAAATATGTCAACTAGGAACACCTGTGTTCTGTGTTCTGTTCTGCCTGAGTCTGCTGCAAGGCCTGCCGGGGTGTGGCTGAGCTGCCTACGCCTCCGCCCACCTGCCCAACCTGCTCGCACACCACAGCCCATGGGTCCACTGGGAAAGCACCTCGGGTGCAGTGAGACCTCAGAAGCCGACCTCAGTTGCACGCAGGTGGGTGACAGGGCACGCAGCGTCATCTGCAGAGCGCCCAGTGGGCACTGCCTCCCGTGGCCCCTGGGCCTCAGGGTTTCCCAGGCTGGGTCAAAGCTAATTCCCCCAAATGCCATACAAAGTGACAGCAGATTATTTCCTCTGCAACAAATAGCTGAAATTAAGGAATTTGAAAATTTTACAAAGGCAATATTTGTTAACTTTAATAAATTCGAGATGAAGAGATTAATTTTGTTTTCTCATTATTGTTCAGAATGAGCACTTCTGGGATAAAGACATATTCAGCCGTCCTGAAATAAATAAATAACGGCACCCAGTTTTCTAGGTGGAGAGCCTGCAGAGAGGCGGCCGGGCTTGGACTCTGGTGTGAGCGCCCGGCCTGCGGCTCACCCTGGGATGTCCAGGGCGCCTGGGCTGCCTGGGCACCTGCTCTGGGTTGGAGTGGACAAACCTAGGCAGCGCTTGGCCAGCAACAAGGAGCTGGTGAGTACAGATCTCGTGATGGAGGCCAGCTAGGGGGGACGCTGAGAGCAGGGGGCCCAGAACCCACCCATGCGGGGCTACAGTGCGTGGGGTTGAAGGGGTTTGGTTCTGTGGCGCCGCCCAAATCTCCTGTTGAAATGTAAGCCTCGTGTGTTGGAGGAGGGGGCTAGTGGGAGGTGATGGGCTCATGGGGGCAGATTTCCCCCTTGCTGCTCTCATGGAAGTGAGTTCTCACGAGATCTGGTTGTGTAAAAGTGTGTAGCACTTCCCTCTTCGCTCTGTCTCTCCTGCTCTGGCCACGTGAGACGTACCTGCGTCCTCTTCACCTTCCACCTTGAGAGCTTCCTGAGGTCTCCCCAGCTATGCTTCCTGTACAGCCTGTGGAACTGCGAGTCAGCTAAACCTCTTTTCTTTATAAATTACTCAGTCTCAGGTAGTTCTTTGCAGCGTTGTGAGAACGGACTCACATAGAGCTGAAATGCTGCCAAAGAGGTGCTGAGAAAGGGGAGAGCATCGTTTACCAGGAAGGGGGTGCACCCAGGAAGGGGGTGTAGCATGTTCACCACGGAAGTGCGAAGGCAGCCCAGGCGCCTGCCACGGGGGAATGCACAGAATGTGGGCCGAGCACGGTGGCTCATACCTGTGAGCCCAGCACTGTGGGAGGCTGAGGTGGGCAGATCACTTGAGATAAGGAGATCGAGACCAGCATGGCCAACACGGTGAAACCCCGTATCTACTAAAAATACAAAAATAGCTGCGCGTGGTGGCGGGCGCCTGTAATCCCAGCTACTCGGGAGGCTGAGGCAGGAGAATCGCTTGAACCAGTGGGGCGGAGGCTGCAGTAAGCAGAGATCGCACCGCTGCACTCCAGCCTGGGCGACAGAGTGAGACTCCATCTCAAAAATCAATTAATGAATTAATAAACATTCAAAAGTCAACAACAAGGGGTTGAGGACCTCCACTGGTGGTGTTCATGGCAGCAGGGAAGCCAGGTACCAGTGCATGAGGATGTGGAACCAGGACTACAAAGACGCTGGGCTGAGGAGAAGACCAACCAGGCTGGGGCTGGCATAGGGTCCAGGGAGGGCCCATCTCTGAAATGGGTGACATAAGCCAAACACAGTGCTTTGTGCTCAGGCCTCTCTGCATTGGGCTTCCTGTCACTTACACACAAAGAGCCTTGAATGGAATTCACCGTGAGTGATACAACCAGGGGCACAGCACCCCCTCCTCACTGCCTGACCCAAGGGTCCTGGGTCCCCACAGGAGTGACCGTGGGCAGGGCCACCCGGGGGCTGCCCATCAGAGTGTCTGCACCCGGATGGCTACATTCCAGGGCTGGGCACCTCTGGCTTTCCTAGAACCTTCATGTCACAGCTAGGAGCCGCAAGTGTGTGCCCCACAGAGCCCCAACAATAGTGCCCAACTGTCATTTGCCCATCTTCATGGTCCACAGACATCGCTACCTGAGTCTCCAGCCAGGGGCAGGAAATGAGCTGATGGGCCCAGCGTAGGTTTAATGGTCCAGGCATGGGGCAGCGTCACTAAACCCTGGGCTGACAGGGACAAAGGTGGCTTTTCTAAAGGAAATTGCAGGATAAGGGAGATGGATAATAGGCAAGGCTGGATCAAGGGGCTCAGAAGATATGAGGCAATGTGTGTGTGCGTGTGGTAAACACAAATACAGTATATGGTTATTGTGGGCCTTTTCTGCTTTCTGCTTTTCTTGTTTCTCATAAATTGTTTAATTTGCTCAACAATATGTCTGAGGCTGGCCACAGTGGTTCATGCCTGTAATCCCAGCACTTTGGGATGCCGAGCTGGGTGAATTACCTGAAGTCAGGTGTGGCATTTGAGACCAGCCTGGCCAACATAGTGAAACCCCATCTCTACTAAAAATATAAAAAGTAGCTGGGCGTGGTGGCGTGTGCCTGGAATCCCAGCTACTTGGAAATCTGAGGCAGGAGAATTGCTTGAATCTGGAAGGCGGAGCTTGCAGTGAGCGGAGATTGCGCCACTGCACTCCAGCCTGGGTGACAGAGCAAAACTCCATCTCAAAAAAGAAAAAATCCAACAATATGTCTGAGTGGCCCTGCTGATACACTTGGATCAAATCCCTTCTTCCTGGCTTCAAGGCAGTATTCTGTCTTTGGGACAGGTCCCAGAGTGGTCAGCCCAGGGCAGCCACCAGCTGACACAGCAGCTTCGTGGGTCTTGGAAAGGTGCCTGATTCCTCACGGGCTATGGCCCCACCGTGGGGCCATGGATCCATAAACAGGGTGCAGGTGGGACTCCAGCCTCTACCCACGCCCTTGGCCACAGCCAGCAGGACACATGGCGCTGGATCAGCCAGTCGGCCATGGGTGGGCACGTGGGCAGTTTCCGAATTCTTTCCTATTACAAATCACACTGCAACACCATGCTTGCATTAGCCTTCCCGTGCAAAGACGGGAGTGTCACTCCAGAGCAGACACCAAGAACGCAGGCCGCGGAACACACGCTTCTTGAATTATAATAGCTGCTACCTGGTGGCCCTCCCGAGGGGCTGTACCAGGAGCCCGAGTGCCCACTCCCCACACCCTCCTCTGCACATGATAATATGTGATTTTTCGCCTCCCTCCCTCCCTTCCTCCCTCCCTTCCTTCCTTCCTCTCTTCCTCCCTCCCTCCCTCCTTTTTCTTTCTCTCTTTTTCTCTTTCTCTTTCTTTCTTTTTCTTGGCAGGGTCTCGCTCTGTCTCACTGGAATTCCCGTGCTTAAGTGATCCTTCCACCTCAGCCTCCCAAGTAGCTGGGACCACAGGCACACACTACCATGCACGGCTATTTTTTTGTATTTTTAGTAGAAACATGGGTTTTGCCATATTGGCCAGGCTGGTCTCAAACTCCTGAGCTCAAACGATCCGCCAGCCTCGGCCTCCCAAAGTGCTGGGATTACAGGTGTGAGCCACCGTGCCCAGTCATGATATTTCACCGTTGCAGAGCTGATGGGGGAAGAGCGACTTCTTGTGAGGCTTGGATCTCAGCTGCTTTCAGACGTCTGAATCAGGTGGCAGGCTTGAAGGGAACACAGCAGCCACGGTGCCACACAGCTGCTTTGAAGAAGGCCACATTCCCGATGTCTAACCAAGCATCTCCAGGTCACCAGCCGCCACCAGGCCTTTCTGGGGAGAACTGTGGCCTGCCTGTAAGGCCCCTTCTCACATTTGTACACCCCAAGCCACTGTCGCCCATAAACAAGCCATCTCCCTTCACTGCCAGCAAGCCCCGTGGTGAAGCCTCTTGCCAGCACCGAGCCACAGCCCCTTGACAGCGTCCTGTTGCAAGTCTCAGATGCGTACGAGCCCCGTGACGCAGTGGGGGTGGTGGCCGCATCGCCTCTTCTGAGCCCTTGACCCAGCTTTGCCTGCCATCCACCCTCCCTTCCTCTGACTTCCTGTAGAGAATCCCTTCCAGCCCAGGGCTGCAGCTCACTTCCCTGCCCCTGGCCCCACAATCAGTTCCTGACCCAGAATCCAGAAAGAGGTGGCCTTGGGACCGTTGGTTGAGAAAGCGTCTGTCTCTGGCTGGGCCTGCTGCGCAGGAAGGATGACGGGAGCTGCCCTGGGCCGTCTGTGCCCCACACAGAGCTGGAGTGAGAGAAATCCCGTTCTGATGCTGTTGCCGTGTGACTTGGTCCGGCCCTGCCTGACTTTAGCACACGCTGGGACACCACCGTTCCTGAGCCCCACACACTTCCTTTCCTTGACTACAGCCGCTTTGGCTGGGTCTCTGCTCTGGAAACAAGGGTGTCCTGATGCACTTGGTCAAAATCCCGGATGAGGCCAGGCGTGGTGGCTCACTCCTGTAATTCCAACACTTTGGGAGGCCGAGGTGGGCGGATCACCTGAGGTCAGGAGTTCAAGACCAGCCTAGCCAACATGGTAAAACCCCGTCTCTACTAAAAATACAAAAATTAGCTGGGCACGGTTGTGCACAC